ATAAATAAAATCAGGAAGGGTTTGAAAGACAAATAATTTTTTCTTTGCAGAATTTTTTCCACTTTTAAATAAAACCTTTGAGTTAACTATTTAATTTACCTCTTCATTTTTCTCCTCTAACTCGGACTGTAAATCCAGGATTTTTGTGGAATTTTTTCTCCTCAGGTTAAGAATTTCTTGATTTTTTTCACTCAGTTCTTGATTCAATGACTCGATCTGCTTAGATAGAAATTCTCTTTCTTGCTCAAGTCTTTTTTCCTGCTGCTGAACATTGAGCTCTCTCATTTCAACATCTTGAATTTTCATCAGAGCTTCATACTTCGCTTCATTTGCTGTCTTAAACTGTTCTCTGGAGGTTTCAATTTCCTCTACATAAAACAATCAGTCTGTAATTGTATTACACAGAGTAACAAGTATCCTTGAACACACATTTAAAGTGTATTTGCTAAAGGAAGACCAGAAACTGAGCAAACTAGTACCATCTATTGTACGAGTTTATCTATTTCTATTGATTATCTTTTAATCTTAACTACATAACAAACACTAGAACTGAAGAACCAAATACTAAATATTTTGTTTGTTTGTTTTTTGGAATTTTGTGCAAAGCTATTTGAGGGCTATCTGCATTAGTTATCCCTAATTTAGCAGTGAAAGACTAGAGGGAAGACAGGTAGTCAACATCTCTCACCACAACTCTTGGGCTACTCTTTTACCAACAAAGTGGGATTGACCATTGCATTATAACACCCCCCCACAGGTGAAAGGGTGTGAATATTCAGTGACAGGATAGGAACTCACAACCTACAGATTGCGAGTAAAGCAAAACCCCTACAGGACAAAGGAAGAGACCGACGCTTGCTCAGGTCTGTATGTTGGTGAAGAATTCGTGGGAAAAAGTAAGAAGTGATATAGTTATTAAGTCATTTAAGAAATGTGGTATCAGTAACACAATGGATGGGACCGAGGATGACATTCTCTTTGACCATAATATTGGATCCAGTGATTCATTTCCAAGCGACAGTGAAAGCAATGTAGGTTTTGAACCAAACTAAATAATAGTAAACTTTTTTTGATTTATGGTATTTTCTTATTTTGATGTTTTGAGCTCTTTTGTGTTTAGAACAATATATACTAATTTTTAAAGGATCAAATTGAATTTTTGTTCAATAAAAATCTTTCAAATGCGACTGTAGCTTTTTTTTCCCCAAAACTTTGTCTTCAAAATAAGGGTGCGTCTTATATTCAGAAAAATACGGTATTTGATATTATTTAAAAAACAACAATAAAAAAACAATCTTTTAATAGAAATGAGCCACCCTAAACTTCTACTCATTTCTAAAACTTATTGTAGGGAAAATAATTTGATTTACTTACGTGGACATTTGATATGTTAGACAGGTGGATTAATGTAGTTGTATCACCTGGTAGTGTGTGGTTCTCTTTAGAACAATTGAAGATCCAGATAGTAGCAGGGAGGAATGGAGGATGGGAGATAAGTTAATAATTAAGGTTGGGCTTAGTGTAGTAATACCTTAACATCTTAGTGTTTATGTCCAAACATCATATTGGGGGCTAGAATGCTAACTTCCAGGACTTTTTTGCTGACTTGATGTCTTTTATTCTAATTATTTCTTTCTTATTATTGTTTTTATGTTATTTATTTTTTGTTGTGAGCAACCACCTTCCCGTATCTGGCTGCAGACATCAAAAGGTGGTAAAATGTGGGCTGGAGTATGTGAGGCTAGTGAAGTTGAGGTTAAACTGGATAGATGGTGAACCCCCAATGCAATTTGAGTCTTTTGCTGGTACCTCAAAAAACAGGGCACATTACATGATGACCAACCTTATGATTTGTATCCCAGAGTTGGATGTTTGTTTTGTGGGTGTTTTTTTTCTCTCTCTATAAAAGTACACTTAATATATATAATTTATTTTCCAGCTTTCAACTCGAATATTTAATAGATCGGCTCTGCTATTTTTATAGTTTGATTTTTTTTAAGTGCTAGATGTTTTTTTGGGGTAATGCAAGAGTTGTAGAAGCAGAGGGAGTATTAGAAAGTAATGGTAAAAGTAAGAGCAATAATTAACTAATTTTATCTGAGACTTGAATAGCTTTTGTAAAACAGATTTTGTCATAGGACTCCTTGAAAAGATTGTGTGAGGAACTGAAGCAAGATAAAAATAATTTCATCCAACAATTGGAAAGACAGAAGAAAGAGTATGAAAAACTTCAAGGTAAGACAGTATTGTTGATGTCACTTCTGCAAATCTTATTTTATCAGTGTTACATCATCTCAGAATATATGTGTTGTGTATCAATAATGAGCTCATAATTAACTGCTACAATATATTAATTTGTATAAGTTTTGTGTCCATTGTCAGTTCAAGAATAGTATAAAAGACCAGTACTGGTCATATCCACATTTTGATAATTTTATTTTTTAGTCTGTTGCGACACATAGATATCACCCATTTCTTGTCCACAATACATAGGAAACTGGAACAGTATTTAGTGGAATTAATTGATAGAATTTTGTTTACATCTTATGTGGCTCATGTTATTAGAGGACTTGTAATAAAAAATGTGCTGAAAAAGCTAATGCGTTTTTGGAAATAAAATCCTTATTAGCATCCTATTTATTATTGACAATTCCCTTTGGTTAGGTAGCAAAATCTTCCTGCTGCATCCAGTTGTTCCATTCCTCTCTCATTAAAGTCTTAAAGGGTTTGTTAATAGAAACATCGAGAGGTTGCAGTTGACTTGTTAAACCGCCGGGTATAACAGCCAGCTGTGTTTTAGCTCATTAGCTTTTTCCTTTATTTTTTCCATTTTATGAGCTCTAAAGGAATCTCAGATGAGAAGAGAAGGCTTTTTTAATAAACCTCCTGGACATTTCGACCAAATTTTTTCAAACCAAAGTAGTGTTCTGTCTTCATCCATCCATCCGTTTTCATGTACGTGAACGTAGACACCGCTGGGTAAATTTTCTTTGGGCATTGTTTTTCTTTTAAAAATTAACATTGGTGGTAATTTTGCTCCATCTGCACAATATGCTAGCACCACTGTATAATGCGTTTTTTCGTGTCTTAAGAGTAATAGTTTTAGTACCTTTTATATCAGTTGTTCTATTGCTTGGAACATCAAATGTTAAAAGTGTTTCATCCATGTTTGCTATTTGAGACAATTCAAATGGAGTTTTTTTCTTAACTGTATAATATACTTGTGAAAAGCACAAATTTTCATCTCAAACCCATCGGGCATTCTTAGAGCAATTTTCGTTTTAGTTCTCATAACTAGGCCTTTGCGTTTCATGAACCGATAACACCACGATGTATGACCAGTAAAATTTTCTAAACTATTATCACATGCAATCCTCTTTGCTTTAAAAATGATCATATTTGTAGAAACAGATAGTCTTTGCCTTCTCTGATCCACAACCCATTCGTACAGTTTATTTTTGAGATCTTGCCATTTTTTTTTCTTGGAAATTGCATTTATCACTTTTAATCATTTTCAATTCTTCTTGTTCGCACCAGCAACAAATCATTTTTCCTGTTGGTGGAGGACCAAAATATCTTTTGGCAGCTCTGTTTTCATGCTCTTTTGCATAATTAATCACAATTTAAATTTAGCTGTGTATGACAGTCTCTTTTCTTTAGACATATCCATAAGGGGTGAAAAAATAGAACGAAAAATGAAGAAACAACTATTTTGATCCCGAGGCCTAAGATACGGTAATTCGGCTTTCGGTGACACATCCAACTTGACAGTAAGCATGTGCCAGATTGCCGAGTATCAAATGAAGATTTAAATACTAATTAGGCGACTACCGACACTAATTGCATTATGTGCTCTGATTGGTCAAGCCCATTGCACATTTGAATCTAAGGCAAGCACTCAAAAACGATTTTTTATTTGTTAAAGTTAGGCCTGAAACGTCCTTATTCTGCTCCACATTAAACAAGGATTGTCGTGTATTTACAAGCTTTTTCACTCTCATCCATTACTATAATTTATTTTTATTATTTAGGAAAAAAAAACTACAATTGTTATAAATAACACATTCAATTGAACTAAACTATGCATGCCTATTTAAATATAT